TTGATACAAGTATTTAATTTCATTGTTGTTGATGTCACCCACCCCCCCCCCCCCCCCTCCCCCCCAAAAAAAAAAAAAAAAAAAAAAAAAAAAAAAAAAAAAACATTATAATGGGTGAACTTAAGTAAACTTATGTTGTGCTAATAGAATTAGAACATTTTAATATCATTGTCTACGTAAAAGGAAATTCTATAATTTTTCAATTTACCTTCAACAATAATGTCTAGTGAATTTAATTCTCTAAGATAATGTATTAAAAATCTCTAAAAGGGATGGGAAAATTCAAGATAATCTGTCAGATAATCGAATTTTTGTTAATCTGATGGTATTTTTGTAAATATATTGAAAAAGCAGGGTCATTTATTCAGTACTTTTGGTGAGCTATTCAATTACTATTTGCCTTTTGCTTTTACTGTTTGGTGAGAAAATTACACATGTACCCCTCAACTAGTATATGAAAAGACGTATATAACCCTCCACTGGCATTTGAAAAGACAATTATACCCCCAGATAAAACAAATTTTTGTATTGATTGGGTATCCCTCAGAAGGGACGAATGAATGAGATATGTACCCAAGTAAATGGATTGAGGACCTTTTTTTATCACTTTCTCTACACCTTCAAATTCTTAAAATTATAATTGACAAATAAATCAGTATTCAATCCAATTAAAAATGATAGCATTAAGGAGAAAAAAAATGTGTGCTGACATATCATTATTACCAATCTATATCTATATCTATCTATACCTATCTATACTTAGTATTTAAAAACTATAACCAAAAAATTAAGAAAGACACATGTCCCATCCATTTTATTACACTTCTCTAACCATAGTGCCACATGTCATCTTACACTATTAATTTTTTATTACACCATTTTTTTTTAATTCTTTCATTAAACTTATAAAAATTTATTTTTCATATATACTTCATCTTCATCTTCATCTCTCCCCTTTAATTCAACCTTTTCATATTCTCTTTAATTTTAGCCCTTCCACCTTCTATTTAAGCCTCTTTTTCGATTAAAGTTCTAAAATTTTAATTTCTTTAATCATGTTTCCGATTACATATTATACCCTATAATGACTTACTGATATTTCCTCACTTATCTCTCAATACAATTTTATATGAATAACTCGTGCATTGCACGGGCCACAATGCTAGTTATGATTAAGGAGAAAAAAAATAGACCCATTAAGCTACATTTAACTCAACTAAATACTACGAAACATACTTTTTTAGGTGAAATCCATAGACAAGTCCCAAATATTTCGTAGTTTATATATATATATATATATATATATATATATATATATATATATATATATATATATTGTCTTTCAAAATACAAAAAAAAAAAAAAAAAAAAATTAAAAAAAAAAAATAAAAATTAAAAAAAAATTACCAAATATTTGGGACTTGTCTATCGATTTCTCCTACAAAAACAAGATCTTTGACTTTGACAAGCAACCATTTAAGCAGTACGTGCATTCTGTAAAATTTGGCATTACTTTTTTGAATGGTAAGCCAAATCATTAGCTATTCGTGCATATTCTGTTGCTGTCTCGTCGTAAGTTTGGCACCATCGTCTAGGACATTCAGGGACCATATTTAAAGTTTTCATAGAAAATTTGAGCCTATCCTATGTCTTAACGAGACAGCTCCACTCTTGGTCCCTCTCGTCATCAAGTAAAACACAAAATATTGCCTTTTTTCTCGTCTTTGTGATACAAGATAATAGGAGAGTCATCCGAAAGCTAGTTCTAAAGAAGAGCCCATTGTCCTACATCAACCCCAAAATCAAGTGATTAATCCTCCGTATGACTGATGTGAGACTCAAGTTCCAATACCTTGCAATAAAACATAACACTTTGCCTTCAAGTTATGACACTCTACCTTTGACACTGGAAGTAAAACTATTGGAGCATTACGTAAGGTTAATGCTTATATTGTGGATTTCCCAATTCCTTAGTTTCAATATCAAACAAGGTTTGACCAAATGAAAAGGTTTGCAATCTTTGTATCCCTCGACTATAAAGTTATGAGAATGAATCTTTTAGGAACACTTTGAGGTGAAGTTTTTTTTTTTTTTTTTTCCCTACTTGCAATGATCATACAACTATTACCTTCATTCTTTTTAGGAAAATTTGTCATTAATAATACAACTTTTGCCCCATTTTTTTTATAAATAATACAACCTTTGAATTATACCTGAATATTACAACCTTTGGGAGGTGTTAATTTTAAACAAGACATAACCAGTTGGTAACTTATTAAACAGGATATCCATGACACGTGTCTCATAATGATTGGTTTAATTTTTTTTTGGGTTTTTTCCCCCTTTTCTCTCCCCTTCCACCAACACCACCATTGCTCCACCTTCACACCACCTCAGACAATCCTTAACCCCATCCCTACCACCGAAAACCACCTATCCCCTACCTCAGCCCCACCACCGAAAACCACATATCCCCTTCCCTAACCCCACCACCGGAAACCGCCTATCCTAAACAGCCACGAATACCACCCTTCTCCAGCAGCCGCGAACCCCGCAAATCACCTCCCCTTTCTCTAGCAACCGCGAAAACCATCCTCCCTTCCCCCAGCCCCCTGAAAACCCATGGCTTCTCTAGCCCTCGATAATTGTCCCCCTCCCTAGCCCCGAAAACAACCATCTCCCTTTCTCTAGCCTAAAAATCGTCGCAGACTCCGTTCTCCACCTTGAATCCTACGTGAATCTCCAGCAAAACAAAAAACGCTAATCCCGCCTTTTCCTTGCGTTCGTGCCGCCGTCACATTTGTCGAGGTTAGGTTTATGGATTTTAATGGGGAGGTGGTCGCTTTGGGAAGGGGTTGGGTGTTCAACGGGGAGGAGGGTCGCCAAGGAAAGGGGCAGCTGGTTAGGGCCTGGGGTTTTCTTTTTTTTTTAAATAAAAAATATTTATTTTTTAAAAAATTAAAAATTATTAATTTAGACCAATTATATGAAAACATGTGTCATAGACAACTTGTTAACCGGTTACAAGTTTTTTATCTTGTTTAAAATAGAGACCCCACAAAGGTTGTAATATCTATTAACTATTACTAAAACAGAAGTTGTTGAGATCACCATTGCCCACGTGTCATTTTCTCAATAAAAAAATTCCCGCCTAAATGCAGTAATGATGTCATTTTTTTTTTTGAAAGCTAGCATATTTAACATTTTTAAAATTTAAATATTGAAAAATGACCTTCTACATTAAACTATGAATTAGACAACGTTGAACCGATACTATATCATAATTTTGATTAAAATAAAAAAAATTACAAAATATACGTAATTCTTTGTTATATTAATGTACAATAGCGATTTATTTTAAAATGTACAAATTAAAAATAGGCTTTATATAAACTCTAACCTAGTTCACGAATAATCCAAAGGTTGTATTATTAAAAAAAAAAAAAAAAAAACGGGGCAAAGATTGTATTATTAATGACAATTTTTCCTTTTTTTTTTTGTTCATACCATTGTTTTGGCATAATCTTCCATGTACAAACTTTATCTTTTTTAATGCTTACAACACACTTGATAATTTGACATGTTGTTTGAGGATATAATATGAAAAGAGACATGAACAAGTCATTAAGGGATGACAATTGGACGGTGCGGATACCCCTCCCCCATACCCGCATCCGCCAAAATATTTTATACCCACCACCTATCCGCCACCCGCGGTGGGTAAAATTTTAACACTTGCACCCGCCTAAGTGGATAGAAACTTAAACCCACACCTGCTCCACCACCCACCTTTTACCCACCAACTCAACATTTTTTTAAAAAAAAATAAATTTCTTAAATAACTTGTCATTATACACTTTAAATTCTTGTGAATATATAATATAATAACATAATATACAATGTAGTAGGCAATATGTGGGTATTGGGTGGGTATCCGGGTAAGTAGGCGGGTAATGGGTAGGTCATGCGGGTAGGCGAGTATAGCTCAAAATCCACCACCTACCCACTACCCATAGTGGGTATGACTTTTGTATCCATACCCGCCAAGCTTGTAGCCATACCCTCCCCAACTTGGACGGGTGCGATACAAGACCTGCATTTTTATACCCACCTGCCATCCCTACAAGTCAATCTAATAAATTTTAGAGGAACACTCTACCTCTAATAATTTAAGTCATGAATGACTCTAATAATACGGCATTGATATTACATTGTGTTTAGATACTATTATCTAAATACCCCAATAAGGAATTATATCGATAACAACATAACATTTTTGCATTCGTTGGTAAACTTGGTACCACTAAATAAGTATTTTGATATTATGATAATACCATCTGAAGTAATTTAAAATCATCACGTGCTATTAGATTCATTCATGACTCAAATTATTATAGGCCGAGAATTCTTCTAAATTTATGCCGTAACAAGTCTCACATTTTATAGTGTAAAATCTTTCTTAATCGTGAGCCAAAAATGATGTGCAAGTAAAAAGAAAATTAGTACTTTATTAAGAATGATTGACAAATTTCGCCAATCTAGGAGCAATATTGTAAATAAGTGCACTTTTTTTTTTACTATTCATGGGCAAAAGAAAAGTGCAAATATTTACAATATTGCCACTAGTTTGGCAATCATAAAGATTAACTAATTCGCCTCATTTATAATTTGTTTGGATAGAAAGAAAAGGAAGGAAAAAAAAGAGAAAAGAGAAAGGGAGACAAATTTTTTTGTTTGGATGAAGTATAAGGGGAAGGAGAGAGAGAAATCAATTTCCCCACTATTCTTAATAAGCATAATAATCCCTCCAAAATTGGAGAGATTTGGAGGGAAAATAGAGCTCATCTCTCCCTTCCTTTCTTTTCCTTTCCCTTCTTCCTTTTTCTCTCCCCTTCCTTTTGTTCATTCTTTGCTATCCAAACAATAATAAGGATGGGTTCCAATGTCTCAAGTTGTAAAAAAATCCACTGATTAACTAGCACAAATAAAACAATTGACAATTCAACACCGAATTTTGTCTAATCTTCTATTAATTCAAGAACTAATAAACCATAATAAGGTATAGTGAAGATCTTGATTCATTTTTCCATCACGTAAAGCCGACAAGGTCTCAATTAATTTTTACTTACAAACTGTGACTAAGACGATGATGTTCCAATTCAAGTAACTTTTACTTACCTTGCATCTCGTCTCTAATACCAATTCAAACATTGGTCAAGATCATAATTTCCAATTGTAAAGACTACAAAAATTTAAAACAGAACAAAAATGTGTACCTCGATTTATTTTTTGCCGTACGATGAGGATTAATTCTTGTAATCTGATAATTTATCTCACAAAAGAGTATGCCTTCAATGGTAGTACCTAAATCTGGTAACGATTTTATAAAGATGTATAGAATACAATTCTGTCATGTAATAGCTAATCAATCGGTCAAAAATTATACTACAGACCAAAAAGATAGCAAGAATAGTCAAGATACAAAAAAGAGAAATAAGATAGGAAATTTATCATACATACATATCATACAAATGAAGGCATTACGTGATTATTCTGCCAAGGGGTTACCTTTTGAAATTGGTCTTACCATAAGGCCTCCCCAATGGTGTTGATGATGATGACGACGTGGTACGATCAAACTCTTCTTTATCCTCTGTAAAGGCCTTAGTTAAAGCGTCTTGTAGTTCTAGATATCTTTTTCTCTTCCTTTGTCTTTCTTCTGGGGTATCTTGTCCTAAAAATGCAAGCTGTGATAGGTCCTCGGCGTCCATAATCTTATTAAGAACTTCGGAGCACCGTGGAAAAAAGCGCTTTCCAAGCTCAACTGCCAGTAAAAAAATTATTATAATTACAAATACTCTATTGCATGTGCATATCCTAAACCCTCGGCCCTCAACAAAATAAACTCATGAAATTGTAGTACCAATACTAAGGAATCTTAAACATCATTTCCAGTTCAAGCAAACACAAATGACAGTACTCTTAGTATGGCACTTGTGTGTTTACCCATAGTACAGTGTCCTAGAAATTTTTGCTTCTTAGTGTGTGTCATATTAGGAGAACATTGAAATCTTACAAATTTGAAAGACATTTCAAAAAACCAAGAGGAATTAAAAACCGAGTAGGTAGAATCTTATAGGAACAGCGGAGTATCTAATGATTTGTTTACCAGTTTTAGACAATGCGTTCATCCTTTGTAGATGCTCCGCTTTCAATATAAAGGGGGCCTCATTCAAGTCGACAGCATTTCTTCGTGCATCTGCTATATTTTTTGACAATGTAAACTCAGAAGTACCATCCACTTGAGCAATATCCATAGCAACTTTCGCTTCCATTGGAAAAAGTAGCCGTGCAAGTGCAACTGAAAAAAAAAAAAAACGGTTGAGCATTAGCTACTGACATCACAAATTCACAATCAATAAAAGGCATATGCCACAAGGAAGGGAAAAAAAAGAAAATGTGAAAGGGGAAAAAAAAAAATACTTCGTATTATAATAACAAATTGACCAAAATTGATAGTCTCCAAAAAGTGGGAGAGAAAGAAAAGAATAGGAAGTTAACTAAATCAATACTTCAACAATCTTTTTATAAATTCCTCCATACCATTAACAAATTAAAACTTAATCATCAGCAAAAAGTAAACGACTTTTTTCAGGTTATAGCAATATGCGTGTCAATAAATAGCAAACACCAGTAAACCACACATGGATAGGCAATATAAACTACAGAGTAATAATAAGATAGACCTAAATGATGTTCAGAAGCAACAAGAATACAAACTTTTGATATGTATAGGTTTGTACAGTATTTTTGTGTTTTTTAAGAATAGTGCTCAGCAATGACAACAGGAAGCAGGCAACAAGATATCCAAAGCTCTAATGCAGTTATGTTGGGGGAAAGATAAATGCCCTTGCATAAAATTGACCAAATCAAGCATTAGGAACCCATCTAAAACAAAGTATTGTTGCATTGTCACATTTCACAAACATGTGTGCCGACATGTCTGCTCAGTGCTCACATATGTGATGCCTGCAGCTTTAATAGGCAACCACCAATCATCATCCGATTATAAATATCATCTAAGCAATAACTAAAAACCCAACATCCAACAGTTATCAAAATCTCTAGAGAAAATGGGAAAGCAAGAAGACTTGCAATTAGTTTCACTTGAATATCCTGTAAGCATACATTTTTCAAATAACAGTTTGTTAGCCTCATGACCCTATCAGAGGGTTCAGAGAAACCTTTCTATCCAAACATGAAGGAAAATTTTCTAACAGGAGGTTAATGATCAGCTGCAGATACCAACTTTGCTACTACAACATCCAAAGACAAGTCTGTGATTGATTTCACTTCACCAATTTCAGAAAAAGAACAATTAAAGAACCCCTTCATATCATTGTTATTACCCGATGACTCACACACTCACACTCCTAATTTCTTCTCTGAGGGGGTGTGTATGGAGGGTATGTTTAGGGGCCAGCAATGGCATACAAAGTCCAACTAAAAAAAAAAGGTGCCAAAATAATTATATGCATAAACTGAATCCTCAGCACACCAAGAACTAAGATACTAAATGAACTTGAACCTGCTTCCACCATTAAAGCATTTTTATGCTACTAAAAGAAAAATTGTTAATGGATCTAATTTGGTTTTGTTATGACCTGCTGCTAGCTTACTCCATTGTACTCCATCTGCTAGAAATTGAAAATATGTATACAAGGTAATCTCCAATGGTTATTGCAGCATTTATTCCTTTGGGGATTTTGTATGGTAGTGCTCCCAGCGTAATTAGACTTGTCAGTTGAAATTACCTTGGCATGGTAGATATTTGAATATAGAGAAAAAAAAAAAATGGAAGATGTGCTTTTTATATTCCCGGATGCAATGAAAGGTTTGGTTGTCAAATATTACATTCATAGGCATGTATTATCCTGAATTTGATATTAATAGAACTTCTTACTTCAGCCCCAAAGGAGCAGACTACAAGGTGGATCACACACCATCATATATTAGCAATAAGTAAAGTCTGCATTCAAATATAGAATTACCTCTATTTTCAAGATATAAAAGCTTCATACGGAGATCCTCCCCTGCCTTTGCAAGAGAAACAGAACCTTCCCCTAGCAACGGTTCTCTTCTTTCAGCTTGTTCTAGTATTTCAATACACAGACGGTCCTTTGGCGCGTCCTTTCCTTGTTCAGTAGGTTTAAAGAAATCTACAGATTTTGTAAGTCTCTTTGCTATCTGCAGTGCCTTTCTTCCATCTGAAGTAATATCTGATGGATGGGCTCCCTTGGTCAACAGGGATACAATTATCTTAGGCTCTTTCCTCATGGCTGCAATGTGTAGCACAGTATAACCCCTTGGATTCCTAAGATTAACATCTGCAGTCCCAAGCTCAAGAAGTTCCGTGGTAGTCTTGGCATCACAATGTTCAACAGCATAGTGAAGGGCATATGCATCATCTAGAGTCGTATGCCGCTCTTTTAAAAGCATTCTAACTAACTCGACATCATCAGATTCCAACGCTCTGTGTATTCTCTTCACGTGCTTATCAGGAAACTCAACAAATCCAGGCTCAGTAAAACCAAGCTCCTTGCGTGTATCAATTATTTGTTTCACAATAGGCTGTGGCAAAGATTTATCAAGAGTGGTGACGTCAACATCGGATCTCACAATTTTGTCAATACACCTTCCCAGCAATCTTTCACATGCATTTCCGCACAATTCTGCAACAGATAGTACTATTAGAACATCATCTGGCGCGACCTTGTCAAGAATCTCCAGTAGGTGCCTCTGCAAGCACAAAATTTAATTAAGAAATCACCAAGCCAATGTAATTAATGCTGTATTGACAGTTCATAAAGAATGGTGGAACCTCTGGCCTAAAGATAATATTAGTGCAAGCTTGTCAGTGCCACATAACAATCTAACATAAAAATTTGCCCAAAAAAACAAAAAAGCTAACATAAACAGAAAGTTATAATCTCGGCAATAAAAGAACAACTAATCCTTGAAATTCCTCCCTTTGTCCACAATATCATATCTACCTTCTAATCTTCTATGGCTGTCCCTAGATAATTACAAAACCTCTGATCAGTCTGATATATAGAAGAGCACCTCAAACTTCCACAACTTAGATAATGACTGAATGGGAAGAGCGAATGATATTTTCCTTCAAATCCCTTCTTATAGCATATGATAGTGGATGGGATGAGTTTATATCAATGCATGCATTTGTTAGCATGATACCATCCGACAGGCTTTGCATAAACAGCACCCTCCCCAAGTGCAGATTTTGCATTAGTGGGATCTAGAAGATGATGTTACCACCAACAGCTATCACCCAGACACCCGGTCACCCCTACTATTGAAAAGGCCGTAGCCGGTCTAAGAAACTTTAGACTCAACTAGGAAAACAACTATCACCCGGTCACCCCAACTATTGAACATCTTCAATACGAACTTCAAACCATGGCTGTTTATACACAACCAGACGAATTCAAATCTACAACAAGGACAAGCCTCTAGTACATGTTAAGCACCAAAATTATTAAATTTTACATGTATCATCATCAAAATTCTAGTGAGACACACCAGGCTAAGGCAAAGAGTGTGTGTGTGTGTTTTTTTTTGTTTTTTTATTTTTTTTTGGGGGGGGGGGGGTTCTCAAGTGTACACAAAGCTTATTAATACAATGACAAAATCCAGCTTAATATTATCCACTAGATTAAATAAATATCTTAATTGCTTTGGGCCTATGGTTAGGAACTCTCTCAGTTTTACAGGTGAGCTTTTATCACTAGTAATAATGGGGCTTTGGGCTTCCAAAATTGTACTAGTTACTCGTATTCATAGCCATCAGTTATAGAGAGGAATAGGCTGCCGGTATCAAGAAGTTCATAAAGCCAAACATAGTCAGCCTCTGAGGCAATGTAAGGAATGAAAAGGAAACGAGCTATGACCCATTAGGATTGTGATCAACACACCCATGTCAGGCAAGTCCTTAGAGCCATAACAAATTACAACATATATATAGAAGATTATGAAATATAAGTTTTATGGCTAAAAGAAATAGTAAATATAGAAATACAAATTTTAAAAATACAACTCAGCAACTATTAATAGCTCATGTCAGGCTGACACTTCTTAGTGGGGTCTAACTTCAAGTTTTCAAGCTCAAGAATCTTTTCCAGGATTAGACGTAATGACTTTGGATATCATCCATTTACTTTCGATGGGCAGAAAGTACATTTTTTTTTTCAGCAATCTGATCAATAATTTTGACTATCCAATCATCCATTTACTTTTAATGGGCAGAAAGTACCTTCTTTTTTTTTACAGGAAGCTGTTCAATAATTTTGACTACCCAATCATCCATTTACTTTCAATGGGCATAAAGTACATTATTTTCAGCAAGCTGATCAATAATTTTGACAACAGTTGAGAACACCACACAGAAAGACGGAGCTATGTTTTGGATATGTATCTATTAGTCCTAAATAGCTGGTTAATCTCATGCAACTTGGTTCCCAACCTCAGGCTTGAATCTGTGGCCCTTAGTCAAGAGTCCTCCTAAGAGAGTGCCAGACTTAGTGTCCTCAAAATCATGATCATTTTTACCAAAGTAGAGTTCCTGGCTAAGGAGATAAGTCATATTACTTTATTCTCATGGAGTCAACCAACTAAAACATTTTTTTTATCCAATAAGCACTAAGACATTAACCATGATCAAACGTGTCTCACCTCTAAAGCAAGTGCAGTCAGACTATAGTTTAGACGACTAATGCCTTATGGACCAACTCTTGGAACCTAGCACCAGACAGCAGCTTTTCAATGTTCCAGCACCATCCTTAAGGGAAAGCCAGCTGTTGTGCTTATAAATGATGGGTGTTTCAAACTGGTCTCCACCCATCTTTCATGGATACACCCATTTCAGTGAATCATTTAAGCGACTATATAAGAATACTTCCTCCGTTTTTTTTTACTTGACCCGTTTTGACTTTTACACTATTCATCATCCCTCTTTTGGCCGTCATTTGTGAATAATATTTAAGAAAAAACATACTCATGTGAGATCTTTTTAAATTCGTCTCAATATCATAATATATATAACTTTTTATAATTTTTACTTATGGAGATTTAAAGTTATTGATCATTAAAGTTTTAAACGTGATAAAAGAAACACGTCAAGTAAAAAAGTATAGAGGAAGTATAAAGTAATTTAAGGATTTCCCAAAATCAGTAAATCATCTAAGCTACTATATAAGAATATGCAGTATCAAGTCATCATGAAATAAAGGCTTCAACATTCAAATAAGACTTTTTCATCTTTAGTAATAATGAGTCTAGTTATCTACCAAAACCCAGCTCCCAAACTGGCCTTCTAAATCTAAGTAAAACACTTAATGGAACATAACCTTGAATCCACCTCCCATGTACTCCACATCGTTTCCTTTAAAAAGATATGTCATCAGGAGTGTTTTAAATAACTTAATCAATAAGGACGCCCTACATATTTTTACCCTTGCCTACAAAAAAGCTTGTAACACCAAAACCATTTGGGATTCCATTCAAGAGATCAAACTATGTTTAACTCTTAACTGATTGAAAACACATGATGTTGGTCACTAGAATAGTCATAAAAGGACAAAAAAAAAAAAAAAAAAAAAAAAAAAAAAAAAAAAAATCCTTTTCTCCATTCCACCATTCATTGCTACAAGAAATGCTGCCTAAAAGTTCCAGGTCTGTAATAACATGAAAAATGGCCCCAGTAACAGCCAGATCATAAACTCTGTACCCTGTCCTATCTTCATCATGAGCTATTTCCAGTTTGCTAATATGCTTCCCTTTAGCTTGCTCAGAATTCCGAGTACACCTCCTATTTTACTGAGTCTTATATTCACTTTAATTAAGGAAACTACATTATTCTTCATTAATGTCAATTCATAATCTTCCTGTTGAAGCTGAGTTTTTAGACAGATTGTCTTTAGGCCTACTAATCCTGAAATGAAACATAGCTAGGTCCTTTCTTAAGATGAATTAGTTAAGCTAATCTCAACAAATCAGATACAAAATAGATCACAAGCAATGGTGCAACACAGAAATGTTTTGTTTTAAGATTGCCAATTACAAAGAACATAAATTCATCAGTAACTTTCAAGGTAAGTAATAAATGCGCCATCCTTGAACTGAACCTGCAGCACGAGGTTCACTAATCTATTTCCAGAAAATCCTCACTCTAGATCATAACCTTGTTTTACATATTATTAAAATTGGTTTACCGACTGCTTACTCGTATATACCCTAAACAAAAATTAAAAAAAAAAAAAAAAATCTAATAGACATAAGGTATCATATCCTAATACCACCTAAATCTTATGCCTAATATCCTAACCCTGCCTAACTCCTTTACAGGTTATTTTTCCAAAGTCTACCATTTTTTCACAAAAATAGGATGAATCATGTCACTGGGAGAAGAAGGGAAAGTAAATTACTACTCCATAAGAAACCATAAAGCAAAAGCTACGTCTCAAACAACCGAAAGGTACGAAAATTCCTTTGCATTAGGCGAAACCATCATTGCAATACAACAGACTTAAGCTAAGCTAAGCTAAGATCAAACTTGCAAAAACAAAAGTTGCAATAATTCTTAAATCCTAAGTTAAACCTTGAACTTCAACATACTAAATTAAGTAAAAAAAAAAAAAAAGAAATTATGCTCCCGCCAATCCGCTATCCAGTCCAGAACAATAATCGATAGTGTAATTTGAACCAGTAACGCGACAACTAAATCCGGAATTTTGAATTAACATACACTATATGAATCAACATACCTTCAACTTCAACTCAATTGATCAACTCAAACAATTCAATGTTTAAATTCAAACAAAATTAAACTACAAAACGATAAAATTACCTGATAAAGAGCAACCAATTCAACGATCTCAAATTTGTGAGATAAATAGAGAACTTCAACAGCAAAATCAACAGCAGGACGGCAAGCAACATGAGAACAATCATCATCAACACAAACACAAACACCTTTAGGTAACTGTCTACTTTTTCCACTATACAAATACCCTAAAACCGCAACTACCGACTCAAATCCAACCGCAAATTCACCCGCCATATCTTTAAGCTCAAGCTTCACCATTCTATCTCTCTCCTTCTCCTTTTCCTTATCCTTCTCCTTCTCTTTCTCTCTCTTTGCTGCGAACTCCGACCTGAAGAACGCGCTACGAGACGAGAGAATACAGCGATGAACCGCGACTTCACGGGAATCACCTGCGACGACGATTTTAGCGTCGGCGTAGGAGTCGGAGTCGGAGAGCGAGGGTTGGAACAAGGAATCGAGGTTTTCGGAGAGACGGAGGAGTGCGGCGGAGGAAGGAGTGGAGGAGAGAGAGTTGTCGGCGGCGATTGCGGTGGCGGTGGTGGTGGTTGTGGCGGCGCAGCAGATGCTGCTGCCATTGCTGATGTCGTTGGAATCGGAGAAGGCGGTGCGCGAGTCGATGAGCATCGTCGTCGTCATCGGCGCCGGAGCAGGCGGAAGATTCGCCGGAAAATGGTGGATCAGAGAGAAGATTCCGGCATTGGATTGGTGGAGGAGAGAGAGTGGAGGAAGTCAAAGTGGAGTTGAAGAGAGAGAATTTATGGGGCCATTTTGTGTGTTTTTAGAGAGAGAAAGAGAGATTTAGGAGAGAGTGAGGAAAGAGGGAAGGGGTTGACGGCTTGACTTGGAAATTGGCTGGTTATTGCCAATTTGGCAATTTATTGCTACTAGTGATTGTATTAAATCTCCAAAAAAAAAATGGTTTTTTTTTTTTTTTTTTTTTTTTTTTTATGTGTGAAAAAAGAGGTGACATGTTTAAGATAGGTTGTGCATAAATGGATACGTTATGCTGATGGATATCACCATATGATGTGGACACAAGGACGTCATCCAAAAAAAAAAAAAAAGTAATTAGTAAGTATAAAGTATAAAATTAGAATGAAAATTGAATTTGGCACGTCCATAATTGATAATGGCATACGTCCATTTAAAAAGAATATAAGAAATTGTGATCTTTATATAAGAGTAAGTATAGGCTCATACCTAGTATGATCCATACCAAATTCTTTTATTATTTTTGTTTATATGGTTATTATTGATAAATATACTTTTATTATTGATTTATACTGTTATTTTTATTTTATACTATAATTATTCCAACTAGATAGCCGAGATTTTCGATGAATAAAGAGGGAAAGAGGAAAGAGCGTATTTTTTTTTATTATAATTTTATTATTGATTGTATAATGTTCTTATTGATTTTTATATTGTTTCGTCCCTTAGTATGGACCATACCTAGTAGCGGTCCATCACGTCTCCTTCACATAGCGTGTTTCAAAATCATTTGTGGTGTGTCAAAATCATTTTCCAATTAGAATGTACTCTCTCATCATTATTTTATTTTATATATGCTTTGTATGAAATGGGCTAAAAATTGTTTAATTTTGAAATCATAAAAGAACTTTTATGTGATATGTCAACGCCAGTATGTACAGAAAACTTAGAGTGTGTTTTATTCACCTAAATTTTACTTATCTGAATTTATCTTGTCTAACTAACCGATGATCTAAACTTACCTAACTAATGCAAACTTATTAGATCTTATTAAACTTATTTCAGTTTTAATTTGAACTTGGGTAAATCTTATCAAAACTTATTTTCTTGAATTTATTTACACTTATGAGTGAAAAATAAGATTAACAAAACATATGTTTAATATGAATGATGGTGATTCAGTGCTTGACCCTTCTCTGGTCAAGAGTCTAGCATGTTCTATTCATTACAAAGTACCCTCACGATGTGGATTTGAGTAGCTTTGCTAAAGAATCATACTTCAGTTGTTTTTCAAGGTATTTGGATGTAAGAAAAAAAAAAATTGCCGTTTTTCTTATATTATAAGTATGAATCTAAGCATGTTACTAGTCTCTTAACTTAAGAATTGGATTTCACATATAAAAAAATTTATAGTTTGAAATTCCAATCTAATGAAGTCTTTTGTAAGATAAAGAAAAATTTGATAATTACCATCATCTATAGTAGGCAAAATTGAAATTACCACCTCAAGGTTTTTTTTTTTAAAAAAAATTACCACCTAGTTTTTTCCAAAACTTTTTAAACTCCCACATAATTGACGAATGACGTCATCATGGGGCCCAATTTCGCCTTTTCCCTCTCTCCTCTCTCGAATTCCCCTATTTCCTTGCCTTCTTTCTCCCTTTTTCGAATTCTTCTTTGAAATTCGATTTCAATTACTCAAATTAGGTTTACATTTCCGCAATCTTACCTATTTCGAATTGAATTGAATAGTGTAATTAGGGTTTGAGGTAATCAATTTGGGAGTTTTGCTAAAATTGGAAAATTAGGGTTATGAAATGAAAATTGGACAATTAAAAAGTAGTTGGGACGAAAACGCAATTAAATCATGCAACTTGGGCAAGGGAAACAGAGTAATTCGAGGGAGGAGAGAGAGAAAGGGAGGGAAAATGCGAAATTGGGACTCATGGTGACGTCATTTGTTAAACAAGTGGGAGTTTAAAAAGTTTTAGAAAAAAACTAGGTGGTAATTTAAAAAAAAAAAAAAAAAAAAAAACTTGAGGTGGTAATTGCAATTTTGCCTACTATAGATGGTGGTAATTATCAAATTTTTCTAAGATTAATTCTAGAATTTATTAGTTAATACACTCTATATATATATTCAGCTATTTCAATTATTGTGAGATTAAGTAAAGTTTATATTTTCAAAAGAATTATAAGTAAATGATTAAATATACTCATTTTAGAGTATTTAAAAAAAAAATGAAAACTACTTTCAATTCATTTAAAACTTTAGCAACCACATATTACCACATTTAATTTCCATATGCCCTCACAACATTTACACTTTCTAACTCACTCTTTCGTGTCTTATCCATTGTTACCATGCAATCACTCATGACTCATCCTCTTACTTTATTTTTCTTATTTATCCACCTAATTCTTATACTCACTTACTTTTTCATCAATGAGAATATTCAAGACAAGGAGAAATAACATTACTACACTAATACTTTGGAGACAAACTTCTCTTTTCTCTTCTCTTTCGTTCTGCTATCATTTCTTGAGACTAATAAATAGTCGGATTAAATTTCAATTGGATGGAAGCTTTCTCAAAAGGTGAAAAGGTGTTGTTGCGTTCCCAAGTTTTGAACCCCGATATCTTAACAACTTGAACAATTTTTACAAGTTGATCTAACTGGTAAAATTATGTAGTTAGGGTCTCTTCTCATACGTTGAAATTCAGTTCATTTCACTTCAACTCAGTTCAGTTCAGCTCCTAATTTCCTTCTCTTATAAAATATTCATTTCAATTCAGTTCAGTTCACTTCAGCTGAGTTCAGTTAATGAGAACAGACCCTTAGCATAAATAATTGCTTAACAAAAAAAAAAAAAAAAAAAATTGCAAAAGAAATGAAAAATTATTAAGTGCTCCAAGAATCTTTAGATATAAATGGATAGTGGATGATTTTCTAACCACCGCCACCCTTCCAAATGATGTCATACCATATGAAACATATTGCGAACGTAAGGTAGCATGATCTCACCCATTTGCGTAGAAATGCTTTTTATTTTGGAGTATTTGTTTTTGGCAATGGTAGCATTTTTATATACTATGGAAATGAGAGATTTCAGACCCAAAAAAAAAAATTTAAAAAAAAAAAAATCATTTTAATACTATTGGGCTTAATAAACATTTTAAAAACATTTGCAATATATATAATGATAAAAAGTTATTGAGTGGATCTGGTCCACAATAATATCATTGTGAAATTGAGGTTAATACACATGCAATTGATATTAGGATTTTTTGTAAACTACCACCCAAATTATACCATGTATTGAAATACCCACCCTTTTTTTTAAATTAAAAATAACCACCCATATTTTACCAAAAATGTAGGTTTTACCACCCGACCTATACTCCGACCAGTTTTTCGAGCATCGGCCCCACATAACGGCTGTTTTTTATTTTTATAAAAGTTGTTTCTCGATTTATTTCCTCCCTTGTTTCACAAACTACTCCCAAACTTAAAATTATTCATTTCTTTCACAAATCCTACCAATTTTTACTCTTAGTTTTGCAAATTGACAAGCTAATCCTTTAAAGAACGCACTTAAATTTTTTTACACCAATTTGTACATCAAGGTAATTGAAGATCACACTTAATATTTATTTTTTTAGTTATTTTGCAATGTTTTAATGAAGTAGAATTCAAGTTATATGATATTTTTTGGTTGGAAAGTGTTTTATTAGGAATTTAATGATGTAATCGTTGTTTAATTCATTCAATTTAACTTGAATTTAAAATTAGGGTTCTTCATAATGAAATTGTGGGACACATGCTCGGAAAACTGGTCGGAGTATAGGTAGGGGTGGTAAAACCTACAATTTTGTAAATTACGGGTGGTTATTTTTCAACAAAAATGGGTGGTTATTTCAACACATGTTAAATTTTAGGGTGGTTATTTACAAAAAAACCTTGATATTATTTATATTGAATATTGTGACCCTAATTTTAACATAATAATCTTTATTGTGAATTTGAAATACGACTTTATGTTGAACATAGTGATCCTATTAACATAGTGACCTTTCTTATTCATAATGACCAGTATATAAAAAATTTCATTAAAAAGACTAACCTCTTATAGCCTTTATAATACCCCAATGACTTTTATATCAACATAATATATAACTTTATTTTAATATAGTGACCTTTTTTTTAATTAATAAAACAACTAACCATAGTGTATATAATGTTATCAGTCCACAACAAATTAGTGTGAAATAGGTCCATGTAGAAGTAAATAATCTATTATGAATTATAGTTACCCTATATATAATTTACTCTGACATAATCAAAAGTTGATACCATTTTATGTAGCGCGGGCTATTATAACCCGTTCAAAGTCCATACAAAAGTGCATGCTATTAAAACCCTATATAGGCTTGAAACAAAAAAAATGGATGTCATTTATTTTATTTTATTTCATAAAATGCATTAATATCATAGACGCCGTTTTTAATCAAATTTCGAAAAAAAAAACTAAAAGCTCGTTAAATGTTAAATTTTCAGTAATAGAGATATCAAATATAGTTTACTCCCTATATTTGACAAATTGAATTCATAATCAAATAACGGGCTTTTAATATTATTTTTTCAAATATAAAGATATCAAATAAAAAAAATATTGTTTATGTTATGCGTAAATTTCTATGAGTCAAAGTCAAGTAGAAATCAACAAATGTCAATGGCGAAACCAAGCTGCAAACCTCGATGACGAAAGAGTAGCTCTGACGGACGAAAAGCATACGAACTACCTTCCTATTTTTTAGGAAGCGATATACACAAGACTGAGTCTCCCTACCAGCTAGATTCACTAAGAAGATGATTCCGAGAATAGAGGAAGTAGTCTATCTCCTTTCAACAGCTAATTGTGAACCCTAATTAGCATCTATATAAGGGTAGCGCACTATCTACGATAGACACATTGCAACCTAGCTACTAAAATACTTTTAAGTATACATCGTAAATCGATTCCTTTGATATTTTGCATAGTGAAAGTTTGGTAGATCCTCATTCTACCCGTGGTTTTTACCTTCATTGGGTTTTCCGCGTCTCCTTGTGTTATTTCTTTATTTTCGCATTAGTTTTATTCACGCTTTTATTTAGTTGATCCGTAGCCTAGATTTTGAAATTCAATCCCACCTAACGAAAATTAGCATAAACAATTTTGCGCCCACCGTG